CCATACTTTCAAAATAACCCTTCTGGATTTTTACGCCGGATTTGACCATTTGAGGAAGGCAGGCTAACAATTACAAGGGGGCCTCTTGGGGCTACAGAAGTGAAGCTTACTCACACAGTTCCAACTAGATGACCCGTGTCACACTCACCCTGCATTAACCTCACTCACATCCGGATCCTGACACAATGTCAACCCCTCTAGTTCCTGCTAACCTGCTCTCAGCAGGATTCAAACACTGTCTACCACAAAATGGGACATTGGTGCACCTACAGGGATGCTAAAGACCGCCAGTGTAATTTATTAATATTCATTTTCCTTTTCGAGCCAGTGGAGAGAGGATTATTTTTACCAAGACATGGACCAACCAAAATTAAGTTCATGACAAAATGATCAGCCTCGGGAAAACAACAAAGTATAGTCAAACAATAGTCACCGAATAAAACATCACAGAATCTCACACAGAGTTTATCCCCCAAAGACTGGATCCCTATCATAGAGTCTTGTGGTGAGGCAGTAGGCACCGGAGGCCTCTCTGAGGACAAAGCCTGGTCTTTGAGCATCACAAGGCGCAGTAGAGTCGTGTGGCACTTTGTGGAGGATGGGCCAGTATATAAAAGAAGCTAGTATGTGATTACACTGATAACCTTTTTTCTTGCCTCTAGTGCGAATGCAGTCATCTACCATGTCATGCAATCACCAATCGCAATCACATGGGACCAAACTCGCCACATATCAGTTTCACTGTTTATTTCTCACATTGTCAGTATACAATAATGAGCTCCGAGGTGTCTGAATGAAATCACTGAATTTTGAGAAAAATAGGGTGGGTGGCCTGACCAAATATCACAATATGACTCATTTATGTTCATGAACAACCAATTCAACTTGCTTCCATCAACAATACTGTCAACCATTCAATCAAATATAGTTTGTTCATGTTGCATCATCTCTTGGTAACTTTAAAAGTGATGTATCAGGCCATGCCTGCATTTAGAGTACATGGGTACATATTGTATACTCTATAAACCATTTTAATACATCTACACAAGCACAGTATAAATCGTTTTCTTTCTTGGTTAATTTTTTTTTCCACACCTGCCTAAATCTTTTTCATAGTGCTGACTATACCACTCATTCTTTAATATAGAAATAAACTTATGAGCAGGACTGGCCTCTATAGGGGATTAATAAGATTGGTCACTGTGATGGGTTTATTTAATTATTTATTTGTCTCTTGATTGATCTATTCAACAAGTATGAACGTGGCATACAGAAAAATAGGATGGCCAACCAAACATTTGGCCACACACTTAATGATTACTATTCATACACTTAATAAGATAATTGGCTAAAAACCATTACGTACAATGATGAATTATAGGCCATTTTAATTGGCCTGAGCCAAGGATTAAGCAGCAACAAGAATTTTGTCTCTAGAATATACCATTAAAAAGTTATTAGCATAAACATAACTGCAACTTTAGACTAGTCCTGGCCCTTAAGATTTTATTAGTCTATTTATAAGTAATAGTTATATACTTTGTATTTTTAGTTTTATGTACATATTTAACCCCAAAACAATTCAAGCATGACTCCTAGTGGAAACTACAAAAACAAACAAAATGGCCGCTGCACCCGATGTGATTATGACACCCAGTGATGAAGCTACATGGGTTTGCTCTGCACTGAGCAGCTTCTGAAAAAAGCTGCAGGTTCTACCAGAAAATTAACTAAGATTTACAACAGAAACAGACATCTTCGTCTGAGCCAGGATCGGATTCATGAGTGACAAACTTCCAGTATATGAATTCAGACTTGCATAGTAACGCCAATTAAAACATTACCACCTAATGATTGCGGTGTAACTTTCAACATACTGCAAGAAATCAAGGAAAATCTGTTAGAGGTGCTTATGGTGAACTCCATCCCATCCAAAGATGTTCCTTTTCGACTAATTAGTGGGTTTTATCACATGATTCTCAGCTGCTGTGAAACTCTGTTAATTAGCCTCTCACTTGAAATGTATTCCCCCTTTCATCAAGACTGAATAAAACAGAATAATTGCAAAAACAACATGTCGGAAAGCCAGTTGGTCTAGCCCTCAAGACACATGCACATAGAGAGGTAATGATGTGAGTTTGGCTGAGAGTGCATTCATGCATGCTATCCTAACTGGGACAGGCAGCAAAATGCACGCGACTAGCTTATTTCTAATTTTAGCTTTTTTAGCTTTCACAGATCATTTCCAACATATTAGTGGAACCTTCACTTGGCTTTGGGCAGTAATCCAACAAAATGGCTGAACTAGAAGGTCAGCATTGGGAGCCAGCGCTCATAAGAATCAATGTCAGGACATATGTGAGCATACTTGGATAACATGGAAGGTAAAATACTGAAATGCAATAAAATGAAGCAGCAATAAAAAATGCATTCGTGTTAAAAGTGCATGTTAAATCTGAGCTAAAAAAGCAGTGCATTTTTTATAAGCATGTACAAGGCGCATGGTAAGTGTATGTTAATGCCTGTGTGCAGGGGATGATTCATGTAAAACTACTATTTCATTCTCTGAGTGGGTGAATCTGAGGCTTGAGAGATACCTCTGCATTATTTATGATGCACCAATTTCTAAATTCTACACACTGTACATAGATATTTAGAATATCGTTCTATTTCTATCCAATAATCCAAGATATTTCTACAGAGAGTTTATTTACAGTGAGGGGCCAAAAACTATTTGAACCCCAACTGATTTTGTAAGTTTGCCCACTAACAAAGAAATGATCAGTCTATAATTTCAATTGTAGGTTTATTTGAACAGTGAGAGACAACAATGACAAAAAAATCCAGAAAAATGCGTTTCAAAAAGAGTTCTAAATTAATTTCCATTTCCATGAAGGAAATAAGTATTTGATCTCCTATCCCTATCAATTGTTATTGTTATAAGGAAATATAGCAGGCTTAACATAAAATATGGAGGTCTGTGAAATCAGTGAAGCACAGGGATATTCATACAGAGGAACCTTCCAGAAGGAGAGGAAAACAGAAGACACAGCACAGCATACAGGAGAACAAGAGTGGAGCCAGGAACACAAGATACATTAGGGAGAGTCAGCAAGGGTGAACTGTAGAACTGACACTGATTGGTGAAGGGGTAACTATGGAGATAATGTACATCTGAGAGAGTGATTGATAAAGAGGAGAGTGATTGTGTGCAGATCACAAAAAGGGAAGAAACGGCACAGAACACTGTACTGACAGCATTGCATTTTGGTGCTCAGCTAGATTGGCAACAGCACTTTCAAATCTATTGATGAAATATTAATATCACTGGCAGCCAGTGTAGTGACCCGATGAATGGTTAGATTTCCTCTGACTTTGTTGCTCTGGTCAGGATCCAGGAGGCCACAATCTGAATGACCTTGAGCTGTTTAATGGTCTTTTTTGCGAAGGCCACTGAGGAGACTGCCCTGCCGGTGATGAAAGTATGGAGTGGATTCTCCACATCTTGAAAGAAAGCAGCTAATCCTAGCAATGTTTCTGAGATTAAAATAAGCAGATTTAGGGATTGTCCTGATGTGACCACTGGACAACAAAGATCAGATTCTTGACCAAGTATTTAATCATTTGACCCTTACAGACAAGGTAAACATTTGCGTTTCTTGACCCACCTTTTGTGTAATTTTGTTTGCATAATGTGTGGGTTTTAAAAGGGATATTAGTTTTGATCATTTTGGTTTCAAACAAACATTACAAGAGTTGACATATAATTTGTATAATTTGTGGTAGAATAATTGTGTATTGTATTGAAAAGAAGCTGGGGTTGTGCTAAAAAATATAAATGGGTATAAATATTTATGTGGACTCTTTAAACAATTTATTAGAGCAAATTGCAGTAGCAAACTAATAGTAATTGAATAAAAACTTAGCAAGTAAAGAGCATTGCCGTTCCAATACATTTTTTTTTTTTACTTTTGAGAACTCAAATTTGGGATTTTAGTGAATAAAAGTGGAAGCTCGCTTTCCTTAGTTTAGAAAATATGGAACATAGAGATGCAACACAAAAAAAAACAAGTTAGTTGGACATTTTAAAACTTAAAAAACTTGAGTTGGCCCCAAAACAAAAAATATATATTTGTTCCAAATATTACAATTTCTCAGTTTCGTTTTAAGTGAAGTAATACTAACATGTCCACTAGACAATCTGACCTCTGGAAGCAAACTACTGTGGAATACAGTACTTTTTAGATTTCCCTTTGATTCTAATTGGCTGGCATGAGTCAATGAGTCGGACTGAAGCATAAATTAAATTTTCAATAAGAAAGTACGACTGAAAATGATCCTAACAACTGCTGCCTGATAAAATGTGTGAACAAGTTACATATTATGAGCCATGTCATATTGTGGGATCTCAGTAGTCACTAAGCCCAGGCTGCATGACAGTCTAGGCTCATTAAAAATGTTATACACTAGATGTCTCCTCAGGAGTTTACATTATCAGCTGCTGACAGTATCGCACATATATTTAAAAAAGAACAAAAACCAGCTCTAGCCTTAACTGCATGAAGCAAGAAGTGGTTAACATACAACTGTGTTCATGTTATGGTGTGTTAGGGATAATTCATCTTTCACTTCTGGAGATAAGTTATAAAAGGTCATAATGTACCATGTCGCAATGCCTCAAAAACTTTCTATTAAGCTTGGTCACATAAGGCTAAATAAACACTTAAGAAGTGACTAAATCCAGACCCTGATCATTTTCACTTTCTCTCTCGGTTATATTATCTCCTTTTCAACCATAGGTGAAGACTAAGAATTTAAGTTGTGTCTCTTTTTTGACTAGAGTGGAGAGTTATTAAGTATCTTTGATTTGATTTAACAGGTTCACGATTCAATAAACAATTGACTATTGATGGATCTGGAATGAATGTGCACTCTTTATCAACACTGGTTCAAGCTAATAAATCCGATGTGATGCTCCTGCTCTCCAGTGGTTCGGTAGCTTTCCTTTGGCTCAGTCTGTAAAGCATTCTACTAACAATACAAAGATTGTAGGGTTTGAACCCCAGGGAAACCAAGAACTTGAAGTTTAAGTTGCTTTTCTTAAAAGTGTCTGCCATATTTACCAACTAGCTTTCTTTAGTTTAGTAGTAGAAAACCTCAAACATTGACCTGCAATGCATGGATCTTGAATCAAAGCATCTCTTAATAGACACTGGCTCTAGCTAATAAATTAGAAATCAGATATGATTTCATTAATCACCCATTTGATCCTTATCAGGGTCACAGGGTTCTGCTGGAACTCACATATCCAGCATATTTTGGGAGAACATATTGGTACACTCTAGATAGGTTGCCAATGTATATACCTATACCTTTTCTGAAGTCGCCATCAAAGTGACTTGACAACATGTTTAATCGACATGTTAAATGGTTTATTTCCCACCAAGTTTATTTTTAATGTTCTCACAAAGGAGAATATTTCCCACCATTATCTTGTATTGAACAAATGGAACATAGAACCTGTAACAATGGCCTCCAATCTCTTGCAAAATACTTGCATTAAAAATAACAGCTTACCAAAACAACACAAAATTTCACATTCATACATTTGAAACAATAATGAGATAAAAAGATGTAGTATTGGCTGGCAAAATGACAGTTTTTTTTAGACTTTTCCTTCCTCACAAATAATTTTAGGGTAAATATATGCAAAACCCTTTGCATGAATGGTGCCATTGTCTTTTCAGAAGAGGTTGGAAAGTTTCTGATTGCATCTTCAATTGTTTTCTAGTATCAGAAGTGCTTATGAGCGCAGTAAAAGCTGCCTTGTTTCACTCATTTAAACAAAAAATGGCTGATTTGGTAACTCATGTACATTTTATTGTGACACAAATGACAGTGTGGCTCATATCTAGGGCATTTGTGCAGTCAATTCTATGAAAGCCAAAATGTGTTAAAGCAAACTCCACCATGACTGTGTATCTGCTTCCTCTAAAATTCTAGCAATGAAGCATAACACATTAAAAGCCCATTAAATATACATTTTTTCACATTTAGATTTTAACTTTTAATAATTTAATAGACACAGATGTTATGGTGAGGGCAAGAACACTCCATAAAATATGACTGTCCATAAAGTGAAAACAAACATTTGCTTTAAACAACTATGATTTCCAAAACCTGTTGGCGACTCAATATCGGGGCTAAAATCGTGCAACTCTGTTCTAGCATCTACAAACAACTAGGAAGTTCTTAACCTTATTGCGTTTGCTCTACTTTGTTTATTTGCGTTACACAACAACATTCTGCTTGAGAGTGTCATGGCCACAAGACATGCATCCTTGTAGAAGTAGCATTACTTTGGGGTCCACCACAATCGTTGAAGGAAATTATGTAGACTCAAAGTTTCTCAAATTAACATCCTGAAACAAGTCAGTTCGACTTTGTCCTTTTCATCCTGCATTCTCTTTCCCTTTAATTCAGACTGAGACTTGGCTCTATGCTGTCGTTTCCAATCACCCATGAATGAAGAGCCATGCTCTGTGGCATGGTCTGAGGACAGACTGCTTGCAATCTGTCAACCTGATCTCAGCAGCTACCATGTTGCCAGGGATGCAGTTAATGAGGTCAATGGCACTTTTCTGTAGCGCCCAGGAGAGCCACGCTCCTGGCTGTCTGAAGCCCAGGTGGCATCTCTTTATACCTGGTACTGCTCTTTCTTCACAGGAAGGCGTACATGCCACATACTAGTTACCAAAGAATCACCAGAAAGCACTTATTGTAGCAGACATTGTTAGCTTTTGTTGCATAAAGAAGAATCAATTCTCAGTTCTCACATTTTTCTTAGGTTTGTTACCAGTTATTTTTCTAACCTGTGTCACCATAACCTTTACCCAGTTCTCCTGCTTGCATATTCGCAAAACTTTCCCATGGATGTTAAGTGTTTTATACCGTTAGTGGATGATCATGGGGAGCTTTTTGACAAAAATGTGGAGAAAAGAGAGGATTTTTGATGCTCTATTTCTTTTCTGTTTCCTGTACAAAGCCGCAACCAAAATGTCAGATGAGTGCCACCTAGCGTCCTACTTGCGTCATCAAAAGAGCAAGCTTTCATTGGTCATTCTCTTGCGAAAAACCAATCCAAAATGGCAGCAATACTATTTTTTGTTTTGTCAACAGTCCGTTCCTTCAAATGTGTGAGCCCCTGTAGGTGCCACGGTTTTCATTCGAGGAGGGTTTGCGCACTAATCTCAGTGTTGAAAATTCGTATCAGTGTGTGGAGGAGGCCTTAAGTCAGGTCAATGTGATACATTTTCTCTGATTGGATACGAGAACATCAGTTATTGTGCTCACTGGTTGGCGAGAAAGATTCATCAGCACATCACATAAACAGCTTAGGCTTCTTTTGTTTTGCGTCGTTTGTGCTCAGTTTTGTACTTTTCTTGTTTTTGGTGACGTTGTGCAATTCTTTTGGATTGAAGAAACGTATTGGTGTGTCTTGAGTAACATGTTTAAACAAATTCCACTCAGAGCCAAGATGCAAACAAGATGTGATTGCTGTGATGCCACAAATTAAATGTAAATGTCTCCTTGCACCAGCTCATCACTTTTTGCATACAAACTAGGAAATCCTGGTTCTTGAAAAGTATTTTGTGAGCTTTCTGGTGGTACACATAACTATATGTACTTACTAGGGATCCAACGGTTCACAAAGCTCACAGTTCAGTACATACCACAGGCACTCAGAGGTCCTGAAACCAGGAACAGCTGTCTGAAGATGGTGCAGATGAGCGCTTGTGTTTCTTATTGTGTTTCCTTTTGCATGATTACGTCTGATAAAACATTACTGACATTTTTGTTTACTCTTCTTTTTCCATCTTTATCATATTCAAAGCTGAAACGTCTTCCATAGATTTAAAATAGTTAACTGCGTTTCCTCATATCGCTAACAAATTCCTCCACTGGCTGAGTGAAACATGAAAAGTCCCACCCTCCTCTAACAATAGCTCTTGCTAATTGGATATTTGCTCGCAGACATGCGTTTCTTTCCCTGACATCTGCCTTTTCACATGTGTAAACGAATAATAATACATACAGGAGTTATTCAAATCAAGAAACTAAAAGATTGTGGTTCACAAGAGCATATTGATTCGAGTATTGTGGCATCGCTGGTACTTACCCATGATAACCACTTTATCCAGTACACAGAATCATAAGGGATGATGTATAGGCTTTAGGTTTGATACAATTCAGATCATTTTCAAAAAAAAAACGACTGTGAACACAAAGCAGAGTGGGAACAGATATAATATTCTATGTCGTCTAGACCAAATGAGTCAAATCGACTGAACACCAAATGTGACCACACCCTTAATTTGAACATACCCAGGAGCCCTTGTAAATGTCTAAAACCAACGTACGTTAAGGTTTTTAATCAACTGGTCAAGTGTAATCGGGCCTGATTTTTGCCTCTTTCTAACCAAGCAAAGACACCCAAACATGACATTTCTGTGAGATTAGAGTCCAGATGGTAAGTCTGCGTAGTAACTGGAGCAGTGGGCTAAGCCACCATTACACAGGCTTAATGACACTATAATCGCTGACTTTTCTTAACACTATGGATAATGTATTGCCAATGATCAGTAGATTAAAATTACACATACAGATTCTGCTTATATCACACAGAGTGTTATGTAAAGAAAAAAGGTTCATAATTGTGTTGTTTTCATAGCTTTTTAATAATAAAGAATGGTTCCTGACACGGTCACGAACGATCTGCTAGATTGTTGTGTATCATTATTTGTGATAGAACAAAGTAAATTTACCCAAGGAAGTCTCTAAGGAAAAGACCAAAAGAGAAAGCCTCAAACAAAAAAGATGCTAAAAAGAAGCTGAGGAATACCAAATTGAAATAATAAAAGTGATGGAGGACACCAAAACTCATTGCATCAAGAGTTGACCAGGACAATCCAAGGTCATGGCAACCAATTCAATTTGTCATAAGAGCAGATAAGATCTCTTTAAGGCAAATGGAGTTCATCCTGTCATTGCGGGTCATTGGGTTGTTTCAAAAGTTCTTAGCCGAGTGGAACAGAACACTGTTAACATCCCAGAATCCAAAGAAGCGACACATACTACTCCTCAGAAGATTAGATTAAATGAATCCAATCCAAGCTTTATTCATTTTCCGCCATTGTTCATATTCAAATTACAGTTTGTACATGAGCCACTAAATACAACAATATTCATATTTTTGACCACTAGACTACAGACATGCATTGACTAACACTACTCTCTGTACTAAGGCATTAAGGCAATGGCGGATTTCCTACCACAAAAAGAAAATCAATGTGAAGGCAAGTGAGCACTTCCAGCAACACAGTTCTGGTGCTTACCAGTGTTATACCAATGATCCTAAAGGATTTTGAGAGCAAAACAAGGCAGATTCTGTCCACAACTGAGAGTTGAATCACAAGATAAAGAGATTAGCAAAAGCCTTTTTATCATGCTAAAGATTTTATTTTCTGAACTCAACAAGGATGTAAAGATTAAGTTGGGTTTTATGTCGTCTTTATTGCTTTATATCGTTATTGGTGACGGTTCTATGCAAACAAAGTAACCCGACCTCAGAAAATCTCCGGAGAAAATCACACAAAGGGAAGCCGAAAACAAAAAGATGCTAAGTAAAGGCAAAGGAGAACAAAACTGTAAGCAGAAACTGAAATAAAAAAAATCGAGAGAGGACAGGGAAGAGCTTGGAAAGACGATTGGATGAAGGCAGCTAAATCCCTTTGGCCAGATGGTGCTCGCACATTCACAGATTAGCAGTCAAGCTAAAAACTGAAACATGCAAACACATGTAGATACAGAAATAAAGTTATCTGTAAAGGAACTGTCTGCTGTCATAAAAGACACCACACAAAGCACAAACAAATTACGATTAATCCACAAAGATTAATCCAAAGCATCTTGTGTAGTTCCAGTTACTCCAAGCTACAAAAAATTGGTTATGAATGGAATTCTGCTGACACAGCAAGATAGAAAATCACCTCTTGGCCCTTTCTATCGTACA